CAGAACTAATTCATTACAAATAATTTCCCCTAAACTGCATGCTGAAAGAACTATTGTTTAAAAGTCATTTGCTGCCTATGTGCCAGTTCATTATGTTTCACCCGTGTCTACTAAGGCAGGAGAGAAGTTCAAACATAATAGACTGTCATTTGTCTGAATCGCTAATGAAGGCTACAGCACTGAACACACAAATCAAGATGCTCGTTTTGCCCAGCGCTATTTGAGAACTCAGGGTGTACCACAGAGCAAAGTGGATCAGCTCTCCGGGGGAAATCCTTCGTGCGTACCTGCCATAAGAAGTAACGAGTTCTGCTTTGCATCACTCTATTTACAGACTCCAGCTATTTTTGCATATTTTTGTGGCCTTTTTTCTATAGCAGCACACGTTCTCGAATGAATCACTCTCATCCTGTCGATTTTATTGTTAAATTGTGCTCAGACGTTCTCTTTAGGTGTTAGAGGATCGCACAGACATTTTCTGTTCAAACAGGAACAAATGAGGATTGGGGGAGAGACCTCTGGCCTTTGAAATTCTCTATGTAACTGACAGAAGTGTAAGACATTTAAAGTGCACAATGTGACGATTTGATACACGTAGGCATTGTGCAGCACCGTGCTTTATATGACATGACATACTTGCTTGAGTCAACTGAGTTTGGTTTCCCATCTGTGAGACTCGCCCATTTCTTGGAGCAGCTCAATGGTGAAACTCAACAGAGGAAGGAGAACCAGGCCCGAAAATCAGAGGAAATGCCCTTCATCCACCTGAAGAGTGTTAGAGCTATAAAATCCTATTGTAAATGTCACACTATATATCTACTATAATCATGAAAATTTAGACCAATGAAGTGTCAAATTGTGTGTTAACAAAGAGGAAAATGCTGAACAGGGAGGGCAGAACCTTCAAAATTCCTGTCCTTCCCCCTTAATTCAAGGTTGCCAGCTTCTCTGTGATACCAAGGGCACTGTATTATTTTCCACACTTTGACTTTTCAGTAGGCGTCAATGCTTCCTGGATGTATTCTAAACAGCGTGAGTGTATACATCTTGGGCTAATGGGCATTTCAGACTCTCAGCTCCGTATCTGTATACTCTCTGCAAATACTCAAATGTGAGAAGCAAGAAAGACATATCATCTTCATTTAATTATGAGCAAATTGATAACTGTCTTTTCTCATATTCTAGGAGGAAAAAAAATTCCCACACAAACTTTTGAGGGCTCAGTTTGGCTACAGAGTTAAGATAATTTTCCTGGGGCACCAAAGTTTGGAAATGGCAATGGGTGTGAACACTTGACAGCTTCCTGCTTTTGTGAATTGCCCAGAATTCTTTTTCAAGACTAGCATAAACAAAGAAAGCTATCCTACCTGGAAAAAGTACGTGAATCAAATAAATAATACACTAACTCTAGGCCTTCAGGTCTAGTATAGTATCTTGTCTCTTCCGTTCATGAACATTAGACAGACATGATTAAATGCCTCATCTCTAAGTGGCTAAAGCCACAAATTATTGTAAAATATGCTAATCTAAGAATTATACAGATATCCTGTAATAATCTGGACAAACCCTCAGGTGGTCAAACTGATTCACCAGTAATCTCTCAAATAAAGGAAGATCAGACCAACAGATTCTCTTTAATAATCATAGATGTGTAGTAGAATCTGTTAGTTCAAAATAGCTTTGTACTTGGAATTCATCTTCTCTTTGGAAAAAAAATGAGCATAAGTGAGATTGAAATATGCCTCCTTGATAGTTTTAAAGTCTTTAAATTTAAACTTCAGTGTCATAGGTAGTCATGTCATTTCTTTTTTACTATCATGGTTATTAAAAATTTTACAAAACCTTATGAAAGACTAAAAAACCTTTTTTTTTTTACACATTATGCCATAAGAGACACGATTAAAATGACAAGTTTCCAAATAACAAGAAAAATGCATTTCCCCTTTATCAAAATCAAATGCATTTGGCTCCTAAGAGATGTTTAATCCATTCCATTTTTTGAGAAGAGACAGGAGTGGGACGAAAGGATTTACAGTTAGAATTGTCATTTCATGAAGGACACATATTTGACTTGTGATTATAAAATAACTGCTACAGCAATCTTGCGTTTAGACAGTGGTAGTAGATTTTGATATGAATGAAAAGCAAATTACATTTTTGTTTACATTCAAGGTTACTTCTCTGGGTCAGAATTGTTAAAAGTTACTCTTTGTTATGCCATGGAAATAGTGGAACCCATGTTAAGAAACCTTATCTATGTATATGTGTACAAATATTTATTCCAGGAAGCATCAGGTCTCTATAGAATTGGTTTCAAAGAACAGCTTAAGCTTTCATAAAAACATGTATAGAGAGCTTTAAAATGCCTTCCACTACTTTATACTCTTCCTCCCTTACACCTCCCCCCCTTCCATCAGAGAAAGTGCTCACATGAATGATCAAATTCAATCACCATCATTGGATCAGTGGGGAGAGATGTGAGGAAAAGCCACAGCTCCTTTAAAATTCCAGCTTCTGGGTGTTTGCTTACTGCCCAGGAATTGGGGCACCAAAATCTGCCCTGAGAAGTGCCTTTGCACTGAGAAGATCCAGGGGCCAGTAGAGGAGCCACGCTTTCCTTTACGCCTTTTTCAGTTCCTTGGTGCATTTTTTCTTTAGACACATCTTTCCTTGCCACCAGGGTGGTGATAATACTTTTGAGGGAAGTGAGGTTGGGAGGTAAGCACAGGAGAAAGAAAAAAAGGCTGTAAACTTTGATTTTGCTCTTTCAGCTCCCCGGGGTCCACCTTCATTCCTCGGGAGGACACTTTGGGATTTTTCAGCCGAAGCTCCAGCAAATAATAAAGAGTATGCATTTTCCAGGTCTCTGCGCATTTCCCTCTCTCTCTCTGACTTCACAGGGATAAAGGTTGCCATGGTAGGTGACTGGTTAAGATTTCTGGATGCTGGATTAGATCTCCCTTTGACTTAACTATTTGGCCAAAGATCAGGGGAGAGTCCCTTTTTTTTTTTTTTTTGCCAGAACAAGAATTAATGGGGATTTTTAGGTAAGACAGTAAAGGTTCAGAACTCCAAGTGTCAGAACTCAGTCAGGACGCAGTTTCCAAGAAGTTCCCTAATTTACTGTTATTTCTTAAGATATAACAGTAAGTCCTCATCAGTAATCACTTTGGTTTCTCAGCCTTCTGGCTGGTGAACTCTTTTTTTCTCTTGGGCTGTTCTAAATACTTAAGAAGATTTTGAGGACGCCCAACCCTTCTGGCTGCTGCCTTCTAAGAGAGAACAAAAGGGTGTTTGTTCATGTTCAAACTCCAGGAAAGTAACCCCTGAAGCCTACAAAAAAGGTTCCTGATTCCAGTGACTTAAAAACTGACCTGAGGAAGAACAAAAGGAAAAAGTCTATTACGAAGAATCACTGTATGTCATGAACTAAGGATTATAATTAACAACTTCTCTGTACCTAACATGTAATGTTAAAAACCACTTATTGACTTTAAGGAAAAGTCTGGCCCATAAACCTGTGTTATAATTTAGTATGTAACACTAGAAAACCCATGAAAGGAGAACATGAGACTAGTTGGTGCTTTTCTTTAGTACCACATCAAGTGGTAAGGACAGTGGGAAGTCTCTTCAACTCTTCCCAGCAGAGTACTGAGCACCAGCTAATTAGAGAGGCCAAGAAGGAATTGATGGATAACTGGCATTCTCGAGCTTCAAACTTTGGGTACTTCCTTATTGCTGACAAGGAGAAAGCAGAGAACATGGCACATAGCGGATCGCAGTAGTTTTCCTAAACGTGATCGGCACTAAGAATGACGTTTTATAGGATGGAATAGAAGAAATCTCAGCACTGGGTGATACCATCTAATTACACGTTGCGAGTTACTTTAGAATCTTCAAAGCACACAAACAAGGATAGGTAACATTCACAACATGCCTCTTTCTAAGCCAGGTACTTTCACTATGAGTCTAAGCCTTCAGAATAAGAATAAAAATAACCACATGTAGTTCTTATAAAAATAAATAATAATCATGGACAGGGCAGAAACTGGACTCGTCTTGCTCTTTACGCAAATGGAAAATTCCCCTTTCACTGACAGATTTGCCAAACCATTCAATTTAACATTGGAAATGCTGCTTTGTTTCTCCTGGATTGTTAAACTACTGTACTCTAGAATCCTGTCACTAAGCTTTAGCTGTACTCAATTTACTTGTATATAATATAGAAAGACGTTAATTTTGATAAATTTCTAAATGTATTAATGCTTTTAAATCCTTCTCTTAAGTATAGTTGCTACCAAAGAGGTTTTCCACAAATTACCGAGTTCAGATAAAGTTTGAATAATATTTTGAACCTCCTTCCTCCTTTAATTTTAGAATGTTTATGTCATTCTCAAATTCAAAGTTTCACAATATGGAAGTTTGGGATAAAGACATTTTAAGATATTTCTGAAAAATCTTTTGTTGAAAAAAGTAGGTATCGTTTATTGTACTACAAGGAACCTATTCACAGCTTCCTAAAGAAACAAAAGTCCCAGAATTCTACAAGAGTTGTTCGATGGAAGTAAATCCAAGTTCAACGAGACAAGAAGACAAGAGTAATTTGTTATTCAGCATATATATGATCTGCCACAGCAATTCTGAACCACTTTGTTATGCCCGTATGTCTCAGTAAAGGGATAGATGCTGCTGTGAGAATCATACCCTGAAATCAGAGGTGAAAGTAAGTCAGTGAGTGAGAGCCGATATAAATTCAAGTCATTTTACAAAGGATTTGCACACGAGATGAATTTTCACAAGTTTGCAAGCTTTTCCAGAGTCTAGCTTTCATGAACGTTGTTTGAACAAGTTGTGTAGAATGCAGTCTCTGCCCTATGAAATAGCATTTTTTTTTTTTTTTTACCAAGTTGGAACTATTTAGGATCACCAAATAACAGGGTTCAAAAGGAAAACAGCTGAAAAATCCAGCAGTCTGGTCTAACCTGGGATGCTCTGTCTCCTCACAGCCAATGCTCCATCAGGCGGTTTTGTCTGGCTGGCGGATTTAGTGTAGGGACTCTCATCTGTAAAGGTACAATGAAGGGTTTGGTTAATTTCCATCCAGTTTCTAATGTAGTGAAGATTTTCCAATGGACTGCAATCCTTCTGCCAGAGAGAGGTGATATGATACAACAGAAAGGGTCTGTAGACCTGGGTCCTAACCTTGGGTTAGCCATAGGACAAGGTCAAGTCATTTAAAATGCTCTGAACATGTTTCCTCTCCTATGAAAGAGGGATATACTTTTTCATCCACCTCTTAGGATTGTCAGGATCAAGCTATAATGCACATGAAGGCACAGAATGGTAAGAAGTTTGTAAATCCAGTACACGGATTATTTGCCTGTCATCTATATTCATTGATAAATAAGCATCAGTGACTCTCAGTAATCAGAAAACAAAGAAGGAATAAAACGGCTCAATGGGCACTAAGAATAAACAGGTAGAAGAACAAAGGAAATGAAATGCTGTATTTCAGAGAAGCAGATGACAGAGTATTAGTATTGCAGGGGAATAAAGACACAGAATTAGTGGGTTCCTCTTGGAAGTAGGAACTGGCATCCAGTGGAAAATAAAGGGACAGGGACATTCAGAGTAAGACCAGAGAAGCTAGGTTAAGAACAGGGAAGGAAGGATGGTTTGGGGAAAGAAGACATATATTGCAATGAGTTGATGTGCCCTCTTTTAGAAAGAGATGGAAATAACTTGCAGAACCAGAAAAAGAGCAACTGAAGAGACAGAAGGACTAAAGCCTAGTATACCTGTGACAGGCAAGAAGCTGAATGAGCAAAACACCAGGGGACAAAATCATACAAGTGATGGATCCATCAAATTCTAAGTAAAGTGATTTTTTTTTTTAATCTAGGAAAGGATTTAGTCTGTCTTGGAATACAGCAATAATGATCTAGGATGGCAAATATCTTCTTTCTAGTTTGCATGGGACATTTGTATAAAGTAAAAGAGATGTCTGAGTGACAACCTTAAACATTTTCAAGAATAGGATGTATGTGGCCTGAGCAGACATAATATAAAATAATTACCTAGCAGATCTACTCAAGCTGGATGACCCAAAGGTTACTTCCGGCCACACTATCAGGTTAGTTTGTGGTTGTTGTTGTCATTGTTGTGACAGGAAATCATTAAGGATTAAAAAGCATTATATTGTGCATGGCAAACTATTAAATATAACAAGGATTTAATTCAGCAACAAGACTTAGTCATCTGAGAACATAATTCTCCCAAGTCTGTGTTGCAAAATTGAGGGACTCGATTCCTCTTTAGGATGTTCTTCTGGTTGAAATGATTCACGATTTCTTCATAAAACTAACAAGGTCTTTGTAAGCAATGACAAAAAGGAAAGAGTAACGCTGCTGTAAGCTGCAATTAAAAAATGGCAGTCATGCTGTTTCATGTTTCTATTCCATTTGTCACACGATTCTTTAAATTCTTCCAACCATAAAGATAAGCTACCAACTTTCAGATACCAATACACGCAACAGCGTCACTTTTGCTTAGGAAGCAGTATCCTAGATCTCTGACTCCTCTCTTTGCAAATGTGATTTTGAGTAGAATCACAAACCACAAAACAAAATGCAAGCATTATACTACAAAAAAGTCTTCATTTTGCTATACCATGCCCACCTGAGTATTTGAACTCTTTTCTCACAGTGTTGATTTAATAACCAGGCAATATGCTTTATATAGCACCCATTAAAACAAACTTACTATATGCTAAAATCTGGATTCTTTATAAAACCAGTTTAAAAATGTATTCCCTTTTATTATCTAAAACTTTGAAACTGTGTATTTATGAGTACAGAGCACTGAGCCAGGAGATACCAATCACGACGACCAGTTTCAGGGGACAGCATCTTGGAAGCCTAAGTAAGGGCTTTCCTCAGTTTTCAATTTGTCTAGAGTGCAGCCAATTAAAGTCTTGGGTTGAATTCAGTGTTGGATTTTCTTAAAGGGCAATAAGAGATTTGACCAGGAGACTCTGGGGTGTTTTGCACTTGATGCTCTATTTTAAGGAGCCATGTCTTAGAAATTTACCCAGTTTGCATTACAGAAGCAGTCAACCCTGGTAAAACTATTTTCTCATTTATATTTGAAAACAATGTCCTTGATTTAGAGCTGAGAAGTCTAGTTATACACATCCTTAAAAGGTTGAAACTGAATTATAGATGGCCACCTGGCCAGCCTCTGCTTATCCACTCCCCAGCGCCCAGCCTCACTCCCAGTATCAAGAGTGTCACACAGGCAGAAGTAGACAATTACCTAGAAGTCAAAATTTGCATTGGTCAAAGGACCAGAGTGAAATAAGTTTGATATTATCTGAGAACAGCTTACCGAAGTTAGTCAGGGTGAAAGCAATAATTCTTAATGGAAGTGAGGCAGAATCTCGGCAACATTCATCATGAGTTAAGGAGAGCATAGCAACAGAGCAGCATGGCGCCTTTTAACATTTGCTTTTAAAGAAACTTTTTCCTAACAATATATCTTTAATTTAAACCTCCAGGAGGCATCATAGGCCTTTTATAAAAACCTACCCATCAGAGAATATGCATCAATTCTCTTGATGTGATTCTTGATTCAAACTTTGAAGACAGAAACAGAGGGAAGACATTGAATGAATCAGTGGCTGATGGCTCCATAATAGGATATTCAAGGGCAAGAATGTCTGGGGAGCAGACAGTCCTGGAGAGCTGTGGAGTCTTCCATGGTAGTTTTCTCTTAAGTCCTTTAATGGCCATTTGTAGATATATCACTAGAATCTCATGATTATAAGGGATGCTCTAGACCACTCTTTCATTTTAGAGTCAGGACTTGAGGCCCAGAGATGAAAATTTATAGAAGGACCTGCATCTAGAATGAGTCTAGACTGAATTTCTTTTACTCCTATTTCTGTGCTCTGTCCTCCTTATGTTATTTCCTCTTGGATAGACAACAAGATTTGATAGGTTATCAGGTATCACACATTTCGGCATCACACAGGCCACACTGGACACACCACTCCAGCAGACACCTGGCATCGTGTAAGTCAATTACTTTGGAGAAGTCTACAAAAATGAGCAATCTTAGCCAGTTCCTTTTGTGTGTATAGATAAATCTCACTTCCCTCTCTTCCATATACTTATTTGCCTAAAATAAGTAAATTTAAATTGTACTGCAGAACCAATTTATACCTTTAAGGTCACTTATTTGAAGACAAAAATTTTAAATAAATGCCAATACACATGAAAAGATGCTCCACATCACTAATTATTAGAGAAATGCAAATCAGAAGTACAATGAGGTTACCACTTCACACCGGTCAGAATGGCCATCATTAAAAAGTCTACAAATAACAAACGATGGAGAAGGTGTGGAGAGAAGGGACCCCTCCTACACTGTTGGTATAGCCACTATGGAGAACAGTATGGAGGTTCCTTAAAAAAAACTAAAAATAGAGCTACCATGTGATCCAGCAATCCCACTCCTGGGAATATACCTGGAGAAAACCATAATTTGAAAAGATACATGTATCCCAATGTTCAATGCAGCACTATCTACAAAAGCCAGGATATGGAAGCAACCTAAACATCCATCGATGGAGGAATGGATAAAGAAGATGTGGCACATATATACAATGGAATATTACTCAGCCATAAAAAAGAATGAAATAATGCCATTTGCAGCAACATGGATGGACCTAGAGATTGTCATACTGAGTGAAGTCAGAGAGAGAAAGACAAATATCATATGATATCACTTATATGTGGAATCTAAAATATGGCACAAATGAATCTATCTACAAAACAGAAACAGACTCACAGACATAGAGAACAGACTTGTGGTTGCCAGGGGGTGGGGGGAGGGAGAGGGATGGACTGGGAATTTTGGAGTTAGTAGATGCAAACTATTACATTTAGAATGGATAAACAAGGTCCTAATGTATAGCACCAGGAACTATATCCAAATCTCCTGGGATAAACCATAATGGAAAAGAATATAAAATAAGAATGTATATATGTGTATAACTGAGTCACTTTGCTGTACAGCAGAAATTAGCACATTGTAAATCAACTATACTTCAATTAAAAAATAAAATAAATAAAATAAATGCCAATACAGTTCACTGTTCCTCAGTAAAGGCCTCAAAAGTTTCAGTGAATTATAAGATCTATGGTAATACTTCTTTGCTTTATCAGGAAGACACTAAACAGACTTTCCAGTTCCATCTAATTATGTAAGTGAATTAAAAAATAGCTCAAATAACAAAGAAAGGAATCAATCTATAGATAATATCTCTAGAACAGTGCCTGACTCATAGTATGCATTCATTCAATATTTGCTGATAGATGACTACACTGCATTTAACTTTTCAAACTACAGCATTTATTGTAAATAAGCAAACTGAAGAAAGTCAAACATTAGTTATGAGCTATCCTGCCTCCTCCTTCTGATTTCATTTTCTAGGTTTACACCCTATTGCTTTTAAAGTCACATCACCACCTAACAGCTCTTAAGTATTGCCCTATTGTATGTTCAAAATCTGTGACTCTTTATAAAAATAATATTAAAATATATTTCCTTTAATTTTCGTTCAGACTACAGAAAGGTTTATCAAACCTTTAATGCCTTTAAACAAAAGAATTCTGATTTTCATACCAGATGCCCAACCTTGACTTTGATGGTGGATCATGTTAACAAGGGATCCTTATGGAAAGTCACTATAGGGGCAAAGGAGGCATTGAGCTAGTGAGTCACTGCTCACTGAAGTGAATGCTGCAAGTAATCATCAAGGGCACATCAGGGTATCAGAACTGTCAGCCTTTTAACATGACATCTTAGCAGCTAGATAATCACTGTCACATATGATGGCCGCCCATTGCCGTTGGTCATAACAAGAAAGAGCACGGGTCCCCTTTATGGTGACATCCTATAAGGCTAGGGAAAATGCCCTCCATTAAATGGAGAATCGACACTGTGACAGAGACAGAGAAAGGGCTTAGTCAAGCATGTACTTAAAACAGAAGTGGAACAA